AGGAATAAAACCACAGCAGTCAGGTGCGACCCACAAGTCCCAAAGGCTTTCCCCGTGTCTTCTCCTCATCCTTAAGTGTGCAGACATAAGAAACCAAAGCAAGTCCTAGGGGTGTGACCCACAGAAGGCAGTAACCATGGAGAGTTCATTTTCCAGGAAGGTTATGTCCACACAGGGTTATTTTCCCCCTTTTTCTTTTTTTTGAGACAGGGTTTCTCTGTATTGCTTTGGAGGCTGTCCTGGAACTCGCTCTGTAGACCAGGCTGGCCTCGAACTCACAGAGATCCGCCTGCCTCTGCCTCCCTAGTGCTGGAATTACAGAGTAGCCACCAACGCCCCGCCACACAAGGATTTTAATCAGGCTTCTCCCACACAAAACCACCCACTCTGGGGGTGGCTAAAGAGAGGCAATTGGAAGACCAAGGTAGTCTGAACTGTAGAGTCCACAAAACCACAGATCTGAGCCTTGGTAGCTGGCTGCCAGAGGACCTTTAGGTGCACGATGACCCCGTAACGCAGGGGTTGAGAAATAGCTTCAAAGCAGTCACAGTGCCAGCAAGACACACCCGCTCTGTGGAGCTCAGTCCTAACGTCACGTGAACCCAGGTCACATACGTAGCTCACCTTCTTCTCTGGGCCCTTGAGATTCCAGAGCATCTGGAGGAAGGTGCTTGGAGCACAGAGGAGGTCCAGAAGGAGAGACTGATAGGAAGGAAAGACCTGGGTATATGGAGTTTGAGGTTCTGGAATAACACAAGTATAATTGCTGTGTTCTCCATCAGTGTCAGAATGTGAATGATAGAAATGTCTAGAAGAATCATCTCCCGCTGGGTCAGAGGAGCCCATGAGACAAAACCTTCTGGGTTGGTAATACTGATTCTCCTCATTGTTTTCGTTGATTTTAGCCTCTCATTGAGGGAGGTCAGGGCAGGAACCACGGAGGAAGGTGGCTTGCTGGCTCACGGGTTCATGGTTAGCTAACTTTCTCATTCAGCCTAGGACCACACACCTAGGGGATAGTGCTTCTCACAGTGGACTGGGCCCTCCCACATCAACAGTTAATACAACCCCCTGCGGGCGTATCCATGGGCCCATCTGATCCAGCAGCCCCCTCAGGTGATTCTAAGCTGTGTCAAATGGACAGTGAAAGTTAACCAGGATAGGACTCTTCACCTTAGACCTGAGCTTTTTGATGGATGCTTGAACCGATGAGATCACGGAAGGCTGGGGAGGTGACTCAGCCCGCAGGGAGGAGTCAGTGGAGACCATTTCCCACCTCCAACCTGGTTCTTGTCCTACCCGCCTCCAAGAATGGACTGGCCAAAGAGAGAAGAAAACAAACCTGAGGAACTCTATTGCCAGTCTTTTTTTTTTTTTTTTAATTTACTTATTGTGGGGGGCGTTGGTGGCGCACGCCTTTAGTCCCAGCTCCCGGGAGGCAGAGGCAGGCTGATCTCTGTGAGTTCGAGGCTAGCCTGGTCTCCATAGTGAGTTCCAGGACAGCCTCCAAAGCCATGGGGAAACCCTGTCTTGTAAAACTAAAAAAAAAAAAAAAAAAAAAAGGAAAAAATTATTTATTGTGTATACAGTCTTCTGCCTGCAGGCCAGAAGAGGGCACCAGATCCTCATTCAAGGTAGTTGTGAGCCACCATGTGGTTGCCAGGAATTGAACTCAGGACTTCTGGAAGAACAGTCAGTGCTCTTAACCGCTGAGCGGTCTCTCCAGCCCCCTATTGCCAGTCTTGAAGGGAGAAAACAATGTGGCAGCCTGTCCAGCGCAGCAGGTTTGACTCTTGGTAGCAGCAGGTGCTGAGAAGTCTACAGCACTCTCAGGTCCCTGGAGCCCCAGGTCTCAAAGCCTGGTGCTGCTCGTCTCAGAGGCCGTGGGTCTTGGCGGATGGAAAGCAAGGCAGGGCAAACTGGTTTCTGTGACACAAGGGAGACTGGGGGTCTTGGAGTCTGAGGCAGGAAATAGTCTCTCTGCCTGCAGCCACTGCCAGAGTCCTGGAGTGAGCTTCCTGCCTCGGGTGCAGGGAGCCTCCCCAAAGTCCTGAAGACAATCTTCTCCCTCCTCCTCTGTTGACTCCTGCAGGCTTCTGTTTGTAAAATGGTAGGGAAGTCTAATGTTTGTGTTGTTTTGTTTGTTTCAAAACGGTCTCTGTTTGTAGCCCTTGCTGTGCTGGAACTCACTCTGTAGACCAGGCTGGCCTCAGACTCACAGAGATCTGCCTGCTCATTAGGTACCTGCACTCTGAATGCTGCACATATACAGACACATACATGCACACACACAGAGACACATAATGCTCATATACAGACACATGCATGCACGCACACACAGAGACACATAATGCACATAAACAGACGCATGCATGTACAATCATAGACACATGCATTCACATACACAGGCATGCATTCACATACATAGACACAGATATGCACATACACAGACACATGCATTCACAAACACAGACATGCAGATACACAGAAACACAATGCACATAGACACATGCATGTACAATCATAGACATGCATTCACATACATAGACACATGCATTCACATACACAGAAGTGCATGCACAATCATAGACACATGTATGAGCACACACAGACACCACATGTAAGCACATACACAGACATGCATGCACACGTATAGACACATGCATTCACATACACAGACACATACACGTATATATACAGACACATACATGTGATGGTTTAGCAGTTAAAAGCAATTGCTGCTTTTGCATAGGACCCAGGCTCAGTTCCAAGCACCCAATATGGCTACCCACAACTGTCTGTAACGCCAGTTCCAAAGAATCCAACAACCTCTTCTAGTTTCCATGGAAACCAGGCATATCTGTGGTACACACACATAGATGGAGTTAAAACACTCATGCACATAAAGTCTTTAAAAAAGGTAGGGAGTGGTTGAGGAAGACACCAGACACGGACCCCTGGCCGCCACGTGCATATCTGTACATGCATACGTACATGCGTACATACATACATGCGTGCATACATGAACACACACATAATGGTTAAATGAACGCACTTTGCTTTTAGAGGAACCTAAACTGTTGGGAGGACAAAGTGAATTGTTACAGTTTACATACGAAGGCTCCCCTTCCCGAGAGCCCAAGTGTTAAAGGCTTGCTTGCCAACTGACAGGGTTTAGGGAAGAGATTCTGAGATTAACTCCTTGGTGGAATTATAATTTAACAGCACTGGGCAGAGAAGGTAGAAAAAGTGGGGTCTATCCTGAGGAAATAGGCCAGTGGGGGTGCCCGAGAAAGATAGGCTTGTCTCTACTTCCTTCCCATTTCCGTTTCCTGGCTCCCATGACATGAATAGCTTCCTCAGCTACCTACTCACTGCCATGATATCCTGTTTTGCCTCAGGCCCAAAGCAATGGATCTGACCATTCTTGGGCTGAAGCCTCCAAAACCATGAGCCAAAATATTCTCTTCCTTAGTCTGATATGTTGTCCCTTGATGAGAAATCTGACCAACACCGGGGCTGTATTCATTTGCAGTACAAAGTACCACAGACTGGGGGTGACTTAAGACAACAGAACTGGATGGGCGTTGGTGGCACCGCCTTTAATCCCAGCACTGGGGAGCAGAGGCAGGCGGATCCCTGTGAGTTCCAGCTTAGCCAAGACTACACAGTGAGACCTTGTCTCAAAACAACAGCGACCATGCTGATGCTGGTAATTGTTTTCTCTCACTACTTTGGAGCCTGGACGTCAGAAGCAAGCTGTCAGGAGGCTGCCCTTCGGGTGCCAGAAAGCATCCATCCCTGAGTTTTCTAGCCTTGGGGAAACCAGAGACCCTCTGGCATTCCCTGGCTGGAAGCTTCCCTCCCCATCCCTGCCTCCATCGTTTCTTGGCCTTCATCCCAGGTGTCTTTATCCGTCTTGGCTCCAAAAGGTCACCAGACATTGGACCTCAAGGCTACTCTACCCCAATATGATATCATTGTAATGCATTGACAATAACCCAGTTTCCGAGTAAGGTTACGTTCTGAGATTCTGGCAAAGGCATAGATTTCAGGTGGACATTGTCCAGCTCGAGACTAGCCTGGGCCTCGTGGACTAACTGTGATGTTTGAGAGGGCTGCTGGCCACAGGATCGTGTCCGGCAAGAGTTTTATGTTCTCCAGGAGCCTTGATACAACACTGTCTGCTCAGGATCCCCCCAGTCATCCCGTTTCTTTGGCCATGAGGACCTCATCTATCCACTCAGTAATGTTCTAGGTACCCAGGAAACAGTGAAAAACATGGCCTCCTGCTTACTCAGAAAAATTAACTATTTTTATTTCAGGACAAATAAGAACATGACATTTTAAACTCACGAGGTGTCTTTTTGAGAATGGGGGGGGTTTCCTCTGTATGTAGCCCAGGCTAGCCCCAAATTTGCCACTGTCACGCTTCAGTTTTCTGAGTGCTGGGATCCCTGGTGTGTACCATCACATCTAGCTTGAAACGCCGTATTTTACACGTTGCTAAGGGCTGCTGGCAGTTGGGGGAAATTGAAATTCTAAGTGGGGAGCCCATCGGGGAAGGCCCCTGTGAGAACTGGTCACAAGGCAGAAACAGATGAGAGAGCCCTGTGCCTTGAGGAACATTGTTCCAGGCTGAGAAGTCCCTAGCGCACTAGTGTGGCTGGGTATTAATTAAAAGTGGAGATAACACAGGAGGCAATACAGATGGAGACGATGATTTTCCAAAAACTATTTCAAATTACCCCGAGGCAGGTGCTGCCCCGATAGCCCTGTTCTAGGATGAGGAAATAGATCCTGTTGGCCTGAGCTCAGGCCTCCCAGCCAGTCAGAGGTAGACGACGTCTAGACGCTTCGCAATCCACAGCTCCCAGCACCTCCTGGTAACATTTACGGTGCTCCGTGGCAGGAACGCAGAGCGGCTGTCCCCAGCTCCCTTCAGTCCCCCTCCCCCCTCTCAGGACCCTGACGTCTGACCCTATGCCTCTTCCATCCAGGCCTGTCCACTGGGAAGTCAACGACACGGCGATAACGTGGCAGAACCAGCTCTCTGGCGAGTACGTGAGCAGCTTCATGGACCCACTGAGCGGTGGCCAGCAGCTGAAGGTCTTCCAGCCGGCCATTTACAGGTGTTTCGTGGAACAGGAGCTCATAGCCCAGTTCAACCCCACAGACCCTGAAGACGAGCTGAGAGAGTCTGAGAGACAATCCAAAGGCCAGGGGTGGTTCAGGACCCAGCCAGGCAAGGCAGACTCGGTCCTCAGGGGCTTGAAACTGATGTTGCTGACGCTGTCTCTACTGGTTGTGGGGGGGCTTCTCTGTAAGGTGGTCTTCCGTCCTGTCCGAGGCAAGAAGAGGAACCAGGTCCTCCTGGTGAAATAGGCTGAACCTCCTGTACCCGAGGGTCTCTCTCCACTGGCCCATCCTTAGCTCTATCCATACTAGCCCTGGAGGTGTGGGAGCCAACACAGACCTGTATTCAAACCCAATGGCCGCTCCTTGTTCTCCGCTCCACTTGGCCGACCTTCTGGTCACCCCCATTGCACAGACAAGGAACTGAGACAACGCTGTGTTGTCCCTGGAGAATTGGGACTCTGGGGTCCCTCGGGGAGGAGGCAGAAGGAGGGGACCCTCTCAGGGTGTGTGCTATGGCTTTCTCTGGGGAGGAGGGAACACGCATCTGTTCACCCCAGGTTGGGCACTAACGACAGACTAAAGGAGTGAACCCACCCCAAGCCTGGCTTGGTGAGCTAGTGAGTTTCCTGGGACTCCTTACAGGAGAATAAATGAGGGGGTGCTTATATGAGTGAGGGGACTCTAAAGCAGCTGCATCACCCAGAGGTCTAGCGTGGATGATGTCACTCATGAGACTCAGCACAATGATGCCATCCTGCCCAGCACAGGTGATGTCATCAGGCCCAGCACTGGTGATGTCATTAGGCCCAGCACTGGTGACGTCATCAGGCCTAGCATAGGTGATATCACTCATGAGACCCAACACAGTGATGTCACCCTGCCCAGCACAGTGATGTCATCATGCCTGGGCACAGGTGACGTCATCAGACCCAGCACAGGTGATGGCACGCATGAAAGCCACTTTCTTTTTCTTTTTTCTTTTTGGTTTTTCGAGACAGGGTTTCTCTGTATTGTTTTGGAGGCTGTCCTGGAACTCGCTCTGTAGACCAGGCTGGCCTCGAACTCACAGAGATCCGCCTGCCTCTGCCTCCCGAGTGCTGGGATTAAAGGTGTGCGCCACCAACGCCCGGCTGAAAGCCACTTTCTTAAACTTTCCATACAATTCACAGACGGCTCCACCAGAGCCTCTTCTTCCCCCAAGAATGGTTACTGTTATGCAACCGCAGGGAGGACCTTGTGAATCCCGGAATTTCCCGAGCTTCCCCAGCCTCATCTATCTGCTCTGCTTCCTGAGTCTTTTGGGTGTCCTTTCGCCCTCCCGAAAGGAACAAGGCAGCCAGACAGGAATCTTGATCACTTCACAACAGGCTGTCTGTACTGTGGTGTATTGGGGCCTCTTCATTCAAGCCTCTCTCCCAAGAGCAAGATGGGGGACACACAAGGGCATCTCCCAGGCCACCCAGCCCACGCTGGTCCCCTGATGCCTTTGCCTGCTCAGGACATGGTCCTCTGATGTGCCACAGCCTCAGACGCAGTCACACTTCTCTGCGTCCTTGTTCCGGGCCCTTGTGGTGAGGGGAGAGCCCTCCAGTGCCACCCTGGGACAAGATTATTGTCCCTGCTCAGCTGACAAGCAGGAACAGCTGGGCCTGGCTGTTCCCAGAAACCGCACACACGATTTAGCAGAACAGCCGAGCAAGACATGAAATATTAATGCATCTTATAACTCATTGCCCTAAATCTGGATGGTGAGGTCCTGACGGGGTATACAAGAAGGGCTCCTGGGGTAGACCAGGAGCCCAGGAAGATGATGTAGAGCTCTCCCTATGCGCCACACACACAGAAGGCGCTACACGACACCCACAGTGCAAAGGTTCCCCCAGAGTCAGGAACGGCTGGGAGGCAGAGGCTGACAATAGCAACGATAAAAATAGTCCATAGTTTTGGCCCTCTTCAAGTGTCAGAATGCAGACTTTTCCATAAACATCATGTCTGGCCCTGCTCCTTCATGCCTCCTCTGTCATCGCTGGGTGGCTACACGGCTCTTCCTCAGGAGGATACCTGGGCACGCGGGTGGGGAGCATCAGACCCCCTACCTTCCCAACGGGCCAGTCTGGTCATCGTCACAAGGTGACCAAGTGACCAAGTGACCAAGACAACAATCAGCTCACACTGGAGTCCCACGCAATGTCTCTCTCACCACAATCTGTTGACTAGACTAGTTATAAAATCAGTCGCAGCCATGGGGAAACGGATCCCACCCCGTGATGGACAAATGGCCAGAGTCACGGGGTGAGGCTGTATCTGGGGAGGGAGGCACACTGCAGTCGCTTTCTACAGGAAGTCAGTGGCCCAGCTGGGGCCCCGCAACCCAGAGACACACAGTCTCACCATCCTGTCACTCCCGAACTGGGTCCCTGCCCCGCCCCTCCTGCCTCCCCTGTGGTCCTTATCTGTGTTCAGAGCCCCTCAGTAGTGTTCTATATGGGTCGGTATGCATGTGTTACGTGGAACAGAGAGCCAAGCAGAATGGCTTAAGCTAAGGAGTTGCTCACAGAGAAGTCAGGAATGGATGCTGCTTCAGGCGCAGTCAGATCCAGATGCTCATATAAGGCTCTTCTGAGATGTTTCCCTCTGTCTACTGCATGTTTTCCGGCACGCCTTAGTCACTAATCAGACACTTCTCAAGAGAAGAGAAGACACCCTTTCTCATCTCCAGCTGCATCACAGCCCGGCAAGCTCATACCCTTAGACCAGCATGACCAAGCGTCTGTGACCACATCTGGGTGTTTGCTGTGTGCCGAGTACTGTTTTAAGTAAAGAGTGTTCTAGTAAAAACACTCTGACTGAAAGCAACTTAGAGGAGGAAAGGGGATGTTTGGTTTACAATCCCAGGTCACAGTCTGCCACTGGGGGGAAGTCCAGGTAGGAACTCAAAACAAGAGCTTGCTCTTTTTTTAAAAAACAAAATTATTGTTTCTTTCAAAGAATTAGGGTTTTATTTTTATTTGCATTAGTGTTTTGCCTGCATATATGTTGTGTGAGGCTGTCAGATCTTGGAGTTTGGATACTTATTAGCTGTCATGTAGGTGCTGGGAATTGAACCAGGGTCCTCTGGAAGAACAGTCAGTGCTTTTAACCACTGAGCCATCTCTCCAGCCCCCAGCCTTTTTTTTTTTTGTTACACAGCTCAGCATTACCTGCCTAGGAATGGTGCCACCCACAGTGGGCTGCTTCCACCCATATGAATTAACAATCGAGACAACCCCCCACAGACAAGCCTACAGGCCCATCCGATCTGGGCAGTTTCCCAGTCCCGGCTTCTCCTTGCAGATGACTCTAGGCTTAATTGACAATTAAGGGTTACTTGTACAAGAGTACTATTTCATTCCCATAACACATCAGAAGTGACCAGCTCGCACATTTTACAGATGATTAATAGAAACATGGAGAAATTAAATCCACACCTAAGGGTACAGTGTTTGGGAATGGTGTGTCTGGGTACTGAGCCCAACCTGGTGGCTTCTGACCCTTGCCTTCATTTGTTTTGTTGGTTTTTTGCTTCAGAGAAAGTGGAAGATGGCCCAGGGCTGCATTGAGGTTGCCGTGGAGCCTAGGATGACAGCTTGAACCCCTGACCCTCCTGCCTCCACCTTACAGACGTGCACCAGCCCACCAGTGTTAGAGTACTTGTTTTTGAGTACCATATAGTGACAGCTGAAAAACGGTCATGCTAATCTAAGCACGGGGGACATACACCTAAATTCCCAGCTCCTGGGAGGGTCAGGGTCGCAAGGTCAAGACTAACCTGGGCTACGGTGAGACTCTGTCTTACAAAAAAAAAAAAACTGGAGAGATGGCTCAGTGGTTAAGAGCAATTCTGCTCTTGCCAAAGACCCGTGCTTAATTTCCAGCATCCACAGGGCAACTCAGATCTTCCAGGGCAATCTGACGTCGTCTTCTGAGATGCCATGACATCATATGCATGCGGTGCCTTTATGGGCAAGCAGATGCACACACTCACCTACACATGAGTAAAAATAACTGAGTGATAATGATAACATACAGCATGGCGGTGAGTGCCTTTAACCCGCCAGCACTCAGGTGGATCTCATGGGTTTGAGACCGGCCTGAACTACACTGAATTCCATGCCAGCAGGGGGCTACATTGTAAGATACTGCCTCAAAATTAAACAAAACAGTCGTGGGATAATCCTTCTGTACACTGTGTGAACATATGCAGCTATGATTGGTTTAATAAGCAAGCTGATGGGCCAGTAGCTGAGCAGAATAAAGTTAGGTGGGAGAGCCATACTGAGAAATGATGGGATGAGGGAGGATGGAGTCAGAGGAGTCACCGGTAGACACAGAGGGAGCAGGAGATGAATGTGCCACCTAATAAAAAGTACCGCCATGTGGCAGAATGTAAATAAAGAAGGTTGGCCAACTTAAACTGTAAGAGCTAGTTAGTAATAAGCCTGAGCTATTGACAGAGCATTTGTAATTAACATTAAGCCTCTGAGTGCTTGCTTAAGAGTGGCTGTGGGACAGGGAAACTCCACCTACAAAACAATAGTGGCACACCCCTCTCCCATCCAGAGGAGATCCTCTGCTCCAACTCTCTGCGGAGAGCCAGGGAACCCCCTCACCCTGTCTGAGAGGAACTGTATAATTTTCTGCCCTCCACAGACGGAGCAACTGAAGCATCTGTGACTTGACCCCAGGCACTGGGGGACCCACCAGTGCTATCTCCAAGACATACTTCTGAGCGTCAGGGTTCCAGAGTTGAGGCCCACTTCTGAGCTCTTCCTGGAGTCAGATGGGAGGGGACCCCAGGACCGCCCAGACTCTCCTAGAGTAGTGTGCTGCCTCCTGCTCCACTCCCCCCTTCCCTCCACTTCCCTCCCCTCCCTAGTGCTTGTCCAGAGTCTCAGGACTTATTTGTAGACAGACTGACCTAATGCAGGCTGGGCCAGAGGGGTGAGTTCAGGCAACTGGGCCAGAGGCCCAGCCTGAGTCACTGGGCAGGGCTATTGCCAGGGCTCAAAGTGCTGGTGGCAGCCTGTGCCTAGGAGGGACATCACCTGCACCTAGTTCCAGTCCCCACCTTCTCCGCTGCTGGTGACCTCGAGGCCAGCAGACCCCCGCAGTGAACAGTCCTCACCCACTGCCCTAACAGGAAGCCTGGGCAGGACTCCAAGTCATATTTAACCCGTTTATGAGAACCAAGACGTGTCTATTTATAGTCCTTTGATTTGTCTGCCAAGCGCCAGCTGGGTGGACGCTGTGGCATCTCCGTGTGGAAGGCCGCCTGCTGCTCCACAGGGACAAGAGCGTGTTCGGCTGCACGGACTCAGAATTCTCCAGCCATCCTGCAGACGTGGAGACTGTGCGGCCTCTGCTTTCCAGTGGAGAAACTGAGTCTCGGAGAGGCATGGCTGCTTCCTCATAGCCACGTGGTGACAGGTTGGTGAAGCAGAAATCACACACACCCATAGCCAGCAAATGGCCTCTGATCACCCAGTAACCACCAGCTCCTTGGGGGGCCGAAGTCGTCTTTCTCCCAGAATTCTCTGGGAGGAGCAGTCTACGCATGCCAGGCTTTCTTGTTTTCCCTCGCCTGTCTTCCGCCTCCCTCCCACCTCATCTTTCTCCTCTTTGTTGATAAAATTATATATATATATATATATATATATATATAATTATTATTAATTTTTTTTTGGTTTTTCGAGACAGGGTTTCTCTGTATTGTTTTGGAGGCTGTCCTGGAACTAGCTCTGTAGACCAGGCTGGCCTTGAACTCACAGAGATCCGCCTGCCTCTGCCTCCTGAGTGCTGGGATTAAAGGCATGGGCCACCAACGCCCGGCTTATTATTATTATTATTTTTGAGTCAAGGTCCCACGCTTTGACCTTAGATTGCTCTGGCCTTAACCTCTGGCATGTTGGGGATCACAGGTGTGTTTTACCACATCTACACTGTTCCTTGACTGTTTAAATAGGGTTTCCTTATGCTGCCCATGGTGGCCGCCCACCTCCCAGCTCAAGCGATGCCCCCAATTCACCCCCAGAACAGTAGATACAACTCCAGGTGTGGGCTGCTTTCCCCGGCTTACTTATTTTATCGGGGTCAACGTCCTGTTTGCCACGCATCTGGTATTCCAGGGGCTCATGGTTCTCAGCTCCTCCCCAGGAGGAAGTGAGGCTGGCTTTGGTGGGTTCCGCAGCAAACAGCACTGGTAAGCCCCGCTTTATAGGTGGAGGCCGGGCAACACACACACACACACACACACACACACACACACACACACACACACACACACACACTGCAACCGGGCAGCCACCGTGTGGCGCATCCTTGCTGTCTCTGGTGCCCTCAGAATTGCTGCACCGAGGTTGCTTTCACCAATGCCAGGTTCTGTGTGCCTGAAGGTCGAGAGAGGGCGTGAGCCGAGAGTCAGCAGTCCCCGCCACTGGAGGAGAGGGGGTCCTGATGCTGGCGGATCCTCCGTGGCAGGGTACATGGAGGGGTCCCTGGTACAACGGCTTTTTTTTTGTAGCCTCATCTACTTTCTTTGTCTCTGAGTTTCGACTGTGAAGGAAGATTAGCGCCTGTTCTTGCTTCACCCTCTGGTGAAGGGAAGGAAGGACATACATGTCAAGTCCTAAAGCTGGGCGCTGGCATCGTAGAACTTTCCGGTGAGCTGCGGCTACTCAGCCTGGCTCTGGAGAGCTGCCGGGACACTGGGGAAGGCTCTGCCGAGATGGATATGCAAGGAATATTCCAGGCTTTGTGAGGCTGCGTGTCTGAGCTTCCAGGCTGGTCCTCAAAGCCTCCATCCTCACTTCTGATTTTCACGTCCCTGGCTTCAGCCATCATCAGGAGGACACGGACGCCTGAGGAGTGAGGCCAAGGCTGAACCAGGCCTGCCGGTTCCAGGCCTCATGACCTAGGCCTCCGGTCCTTATCACACACAGGGCACGCCACCCCATCTCTTTCCTAACCACCCTTTCCTTCCTCCGGGACCCAACAACAGGCCCAGCTTCTGTGGTGAAGAGATTTTCGCAGCAAGATGTTTACACCGTTGGTGTGTGATTCATCTGTTACCCACATAGCCTTTCTTTGTTGACTTCCTGTTTCCGAAGGCAGGTTTCCATTCACTGCCCAGCCCTTCCCATGTTACCCCGCTGGGGCACAGTGTCTGCCTCTGTGGAAGACCCGCACTCGCCTCCTAGGTTAGCCGTGAGGAGAAACCAGTTAGCTCACACGAACCATCTTGACCACAGCTGTGCTCCATCGTCATTTTTTTTTATAAATGTAAAACACTACAACCATACTTCCATTTATTTATTTAACTCAATTCCACTCTGTCCGTTTCCCTACTTCTTCTAAGCAGTTTCTCGGGTCTTGTTCCTCAGGGTAGGTAATTAAGCAGGGGGAGGAGAACCTAACCAACACCTGCTCAGCCCAGAAAAGGAACCCAACACAGACTGAAGTCCAGCTTGGCGAGGTAGTGATCCGATTGGGGCCACTTACAGGCGCATGGGTGACTCAGAGGCAGCTGCCTCACTGCCATTCCGGATGATGACTACAAAAGCTGTAACCCTGGAGCTCTCTGCATGACCTGCAGAGGACTCAACGGGTCTGAGAACCCCCTCTCCCCAGCATTCTTACCGCTTATGACCTGCGGAGGGTGTGGGGAGGGACTTTTGTATCTGGTCGCATTCAGGAACTTCCTAAGACTTTTGAGTTGTTGCCGTTCTGAGTCATAAGAAGTTTCCTTCCAGGGCTGGAGAGATGGCTCAGCCGTTGCAGGCTAGGCTCACAACCGAAAATATAAGAAGTCTCCTTCCAGCATGAAACGTCTCAATTCAGAGGAAATCGCTAGGCAACATGACGGGGCAGCTTTGAGGACGGGTGAAGCTTGCAGATGTCCGCCGCCACTCCCAGATCAGTGAGACCCTGTCTCAAGGGAGTAAGGTGGAGTTCGATAAAGTGTGCCTGGCGTCCTCAGGTCTCTGCACACATACCCACCACAACCCACACAACCACGTTCTTTGTAGGCCAAGGGAGCTTCAGGGGCTCGGAGCATCTGGTGAAGGGAAACCCACACTTTTCTGAAGCCGTAATGGGAGTAACTGTCTTTCTTCGTAAATATTGCCCTGATCATAACACTGAAGTGGATGTGAGACTCGGAAGGGAAAACGTTAGTGGGTTTTTCCTTGATATTATTATTACTAACCCCTCATTGCCCACACAGATGGGAGAAGAGCAGAGATGTCAGTCTGAGGTAGCGGAGGAGCTGCAGAGAGCACCACAGCAGCAACTGATTCATTCAGGGCCGTGCGGTTGCTGGGAGGGAGGGAGAAAGGGGAGGGAGTAAGGGAGGGAGGGATAGAGGGAAGGAGGGAGGCAGGGAGGGAAGGATTTCTTTCTTTATGGTATGGCAGATTGAACCTAGGACATGATCAGTGCTAGGCAGGGGCTCTACCACTGAGCCACACCCCAGCCCCTCAATGAGGGATTCTAGGCAGGGGCTCTACCACAGTCATACTTTCAGCCCTGTTTTTACTTTCTCTTTTGAGAGTCTCACTGTGTTGCCCAGACTGGTCCTGAACTTGTCTTGGACTTGAAAGTGCTGGGATCACAGGTGTATGTCACCAGACCCGAATCTCTCTTTTTTTTTTAAAGATTTATTTATTTATTATGTATACAGTGTTCTGCTTGCATATCAAAAGAAGACACCAGATCTCGGTATAGATGGTTGTGAGCCACCATGTGGTTGCTGGGAATTGAACTCAGGACCTCTGGAAGAGCAGTCAGTGCTCTTAACCTCTGAGCCATCTCTCCAGCCTGACCCGAATCTCTTATACTACATTTTAAAAAAAGATTTCTCTCTCTCTCTCTCTCTCTCTCTCTCTCTCTCTCTCTCTCTCTCTCTCTCTCTCTCTCTCTCTCTCTCTCTCTCTCGTGTGTGTGTGTGTGTGTGTGTGTGTGTGTGTGTGTGTGTGTACAGGCACCTGCGGAGTTCAGAAGACGGAATCTCCTGGAGCTAGATAAAGTAATAGGTAGTCAGTTGTGAGCCACCCGATATGGGTGCTGAGCACTGATGGGAACTGAACCCGGGTCCTCTGCAAGAGCAGTTGGCACTCTTAACCGCAGAGCCCTCTCTCCAGTTATATTACTTTTTAAAAGGTGAGATGTATTTACTTATATTTTATGTGGATTAGTGTTTTGCCTACATGTATGTCTGTGCGCCACATGCATGTCTGGTGCTTGTGGAAGCCAGAAGAAGACATCAGATCCCCTGGAGCTGGAGTTACAGATGGTTTTACGCCACCATGTGGGTGCTGGAAACCAAGCTTGGTCCTCTGGAAGGGCAGCCAGTGCTCTTAAAGACTTAAGTTTATTAAGGCTCTTAAGTCATCTCTCTACACAACCCCCACCCACACACACACCCCCATTACTTTTTACAAACAAAAACATTATTTTCCTAAAGCTTCCCGCCCACCAGTCCCCAGTGGAATTCCCTCCCATTTTCTTGACAAGCACGAACGACAGCCTTTTCCAGAACCAATCCCCACCAGGGAGACAGCCGTGTGAGGTAGTGATCTTGAACCACGCAGGGATGGAAACTACCTTTCCTGAACGGTGGCCAGAACTAATAAGCAGGCTAATAAAGTTAGGGCCGTCCCTGCGAAGAAGACTCAAGGAAAATGGATGTGCTCGTTAAAGATGCAAAGCCAGCCCCACCCCACCCGCTCCATTCTGCCTGGCAGTCCCTGGCTCAGGTCTCAGAGAACCATAGTCACTGCAGGAGGAGTGGTTTCCGAGAGAAGGAAGCCTCCGCCCACATCCCTCCAGGGCCGTGCACCTCAGCTACATCATCTGCAGAGCCCTAAGACTGTATCAGACCCGTCAGGAAGGATGGAAACCAAACGCAAAAGGGAATGTTTGGTTCTTATGGAAGACTCGGGAGCATAGGTCTCAGGGATGGCTGGATCTGAGTGTTTAAGTAATTCACTGAGCCCTCTCCTCACCTCCCCTCTTTCCTCCTTAGCCCCCTGGTCCCTCTTTAATATTGGTTTCCTGTGTTTGTATATTCTCTCCTCCTAAAGGCAAACATGACCTCCAGCAACCCCAGCCTTACTTTAGCAGCAGAAGGAGAACGCCACTTTCTAGATCTTTCCTGAAGTTATCTCTCCCACTGGCTTAACTTGAACAACCGTGCTCATTTGGGCACACAGGGCGTGGGGCTGGTCATGCCCAGGTTACACAAGGGAGGAAGGCTGGGAGGAGCGAATGCATGAGGTGGGCAGCCTTCTCACAGAGACAGCCCAGGCTGTGTCCTGTTTGAGCATGAAGAGCTGGCAGGCACGTAGGACGAAGGTAGCTGCAGTGGTCAGGGAAGGCTTCTCAGAGGAGGCGTCACAGAAGTGGAATGAAGAGTCTTTCCGACGAAAGCACCCCAGGCCAAAGACCTGTGGAAAATCAGTAGGGGGTGATCTATGGGAAAACATGATGGGTGGTGCATATGGATGGATGGATGGAGGGATAATGAATGGATGGATGGATAGATGGATGATGGATGGGTGGATGATGGATGGATGGATAGATGGATGGATGGGTGGATGGATGATGGATGGATGGATGATGGATGGATGATGGATGGATGGATAGATGGATGGATGGGTGGATGGATGATGGATGGATGGATGATGGATGGATGGGTGGATGGGTGGATGGATGGATGGGTGGGTGGATGATGGATGGATGATGGATGGATGGGTGGATGGATGATGGATGGATGGGTGGGTGGGTGGATGGATGGATGAATGGGTGGATGGATGGATGGATGATGGATGGGTAGATGATGGATGGATGATGGATGGATGGATGGGTGGATGATGGATGGATGGATAGATGGATGGATGGGTGGATGGATGATGGATGGATGGATGATGGATGGATGGGTGGATGGGTGGGTGGATGGATGGGTGGGTGGATGGATGGATGGGTGGGTGGATGGATGGGTGGGTGGATGGATGATGGATGGATGGGTGGATGGGTGGGTGGGTGGATGGGTGGGTGGATGGATGGATGGGTGGGTGGATGGATGGATGATGGATGGGTGGATGGATGGATGGGTGGGTGGATGGATGATGGATGGATGGATGGATGGATGGGTGGGTGGATGGATGGATGGATAACGGATGGATGGATGGGTGGATGGATGGCAGACGGATGGGTGGATGAATGCCATGGCCTGGAACTGTGCAGAGATCCTTGACTGCTCTGAAGGAGCTGCTGAGCTGAGTATAAAGAAAAGCTAAAGGGGAAGTGGTGAGAGCAGACACAATTTTCTGCACGGACAGGAAGGAGAGGGGGTGTTCTTCATTCTCTGCCCTCCCCCTCTTCCTGTTCCTTCCCTTCTTCTCTCTCTCCTCCCCTTCCCTTTTTTTGAGACAGGGTCCCGCCATGCAGTCCAGGCTGGGGTCAGACTCACACTCCCCTCCCTTAACATCTCAAGTGCTAGGATCACAAGTGTGTATTGAACCTAGAGGCAGCTGAGCTACCTGGAGGAGAACATCCTTTGTAAGTTCTCCTCCTCCCCTCCCTTCTCCTCCCCTCCCCTCCCCTCCCCTGCCCACCTCAGGCTCATTTCCTTTTTTTTCCTGTTCAAACTCACCACGCTCCTTTCCTGTCTGGCCTCTGTGCCTCTGTGGTTGCTGCCCCCTCTGCCTGGAACAGCCCCCTCCGAATGTATTAGTCCGGCTCGGTCCCGCCCCCCATCCCCCCCCAGAGCCACACCCCTGCCCCTGAAGCTCTTCCTTCACAGGTCACAGCACCCGGCTTCACTTCCTCTGTCACTGGAAGACGTCGTGTGGGGGCCTGCTGTTGTCCTGTGGGGGCCTGCTGTTGCAGCTCAGAGCTGTCACCCCGGGATCTGGCGGCAGCAGCATGGGGGGGGGGGGCAGAGAATCAGCAGCTCAGAGCTCCTCCACTGCAGGTCCCTGATCCTGCGGCCGTGTTGCTTCCCAAGTGGTCCCCTTGCCCTCTGTGCCTGTCTCCTCCTCTCCAAATGTGTTTTTAGTCATGCACGCACACACACACGCACACACACACACGCACGCACACACACATGCACACACACGCGCGCGCGCGCGCACACACACACACGCACACACCCACACACGTGTGCCGCTGCATGCATGCGGAGGTTAGAGGTGTGGGATCCGGGAACTGAACCCCAGGTCATCAGTTGCGTTAGCAGGTGCCTCTCCCCACTGAGCCATCTGCTCTCTACAACAGGCATTTAGAAGCTGCTTTTTATTTTTTATCTTTTGAATAGGAAGTGACAGACCCACAAAGGCCACTATAGCAAGGCGAGGTCAGCACCGTCACCCTCTCCTGTGACCCATCTCTGTCTGTCTGTCTCCGTCTCTTTCACTGACACAGGCTGTGGTTGCAGGCTTAATGACCTCACACAGACACCAGTCTGCTGCAAGATTCTGGGTGGAATATAAAAGAGCGATTTACGATGTAATTAGTTCAGCCAAACACAATCTGCGGAGAGTTCCGAGAGTTCCCGGCAGGGCGTGACTTCACTCACGGCCCGAGCTTACCTTCTAGCCTCCAGCCTCAGTGGCCAAGGGTCAGCTGCAGGCTGTCCCCTGCCTGCTCCCCAGTCCACCTCGATGTCCTCATGTGAGGACAGCCAGATGGAAGCTGACCCCACAGCTCTCGGCTGGACACTCAGCTCAGGGACTTCGGCTGGGGAGGCAGCCTGCTGGTGGCATGGGGAGCGCCATGCGCTCCTCACCAGCCTCTCTGGGAAACTTCCTTCCCGAAGCTTGGAATCTCAGCGGCCTCCCCCACCCCCAAAAAATGGGAGGCATGGACCTACGAAACGGACTCCCAAACTCGTTGGCCCCCCCCCAGTATGTAGCCCAGGCTATCCTTAAACTTGTCCTCTTCCTGCCTCAGCCTTCTAGGTGCTGGGACTATGGGTGAGACCTTACGTGCCACAGTTGTACACAGGGACATCAATCAGAGAACAACCTTCAGGAGTTGGTTCTCTGTCTACACCACATGGGACCCAGGGAGTGTTCATGCCGTCAGGCGTGGTGGTAAGCCAGCCTCTCTATCTGTTGAGCCCTCTCCCAGGTGGGGATTACCCATCAGCCCCTGGGGGGATCTGTCTGCTTCTTCTGCTACCATCTCCTCCCGTCAGCCTTCTCTGTTCTTGCTTCTGCCACTTACTAAAGTTCATCCCGTTTTGTCCGAGGCCATTGAAACCCCAGCACCCGCTTCGGGATGGGTATGCGGTACTTGTTGGAAATGCTATGTCGGTGCTTTTGAAAATCCGGTTGCATCCAGGCATGGCGGTTCATGACTTTAATCCCAGCACTTGGGAGGCAAAAGCTGGTGGATCTTGGTAGATCTCCGAGTCCAAGACTTGGCTGCTCTACAGAGAGAGTTTCAGGACATCCAGGGCTACATAGAGAAACGCTGTCTCAACAACAATAACAAAAAAACCTAAATAAATAAGTAAATAATAAACAAAACAGTTTCAGGCAGATGAAAGGGATCTGTGAATGTACACACAAGGAAAGGTGCCTCCACTGTGAGGAATCCACTCCCTCCCTCCCTCCCTCCTTCCTTCTTTCCTTCCTCCCTCCTCCCTCTCTCTCTCCCTCCCTCCTTCCCTCCCTTCCTTCTTTCCTTCTTCCCTCCTCCCCCTCCCTCCTCCCCCTCCCTCCTCCCTCCCTCCTTCCTTCTTTCCTTCCTTCCTCCCTTCCTCCCTCCCTCCCTCCTTCCTTCTTTCCTTCCTCCCTCCTCCCTCTCTCTCTCCCTCCCTCCCTTCCTCCCTCCTCCCCCTCCCTCCCTCTCTCCCTCCTCCCCCTCCCTCCCTCTCTCCCTCCCTCCCTCCCTCCCTCTCTCCCTCCCTCCCTCCCTTCTGACTCAGCAAAGTTGTACCGGGTACTGGAAAACCCCAAGAAGGCTCCCTCAGGGCAGTGAAATCCACTTGAGACTTGAAGGATGAGCAGATTTTAATGAGATAAAGAACGCAGGGAAGCCAGGTGTGGTGACGCGCACCTGTAATCCCAACACTCAGGAAGTAGAGATGGGAGGGTCAGGAGTTCAAGTTCATCCTCGACTATGTAGCTGGGCTAGACCGGGCTAGCCTGGGCTACATTGAGACCTTGTCACAGAAAGCAAAGGGGGCTGAGGAGTTGGTGGGCCAGTGCAGCATCTGCCGTACAAGCCCGAGGGACTGAGCTCGGCCCAGCATGTACGAAACTCAAGGCCCTGCATCGCCCACAACCCCAGCACTGGGAAGGTGGAAACAGGTGGGTCCCTTGGGCTCATTAGCCAACCGGTGTAGCCAAACTGATGAGTTCCAGGTTCGCTGAGAGACCTTCTCTAAAAGGTAACTAGTTAAGAGAAGGTGTGGGCTCCCTGTGTGCAGTCAGCTTAGATGGCCCTGGATGAGAGGCCCCGCACTCCCCCACCTCCACAGGGACCAAGCCTGACCCTGAGCAGGAGCTGAGCAACTAAACAAACAAGGAATCGCTCCTCTCCCTGAGAGGGACGATGGAAGTGTTTGTTTGTTTGTTTTTCCCCTATGGGTGGCCTGGCAAAGCTGAAAGGATTTGGGCTCCCAGCTGGAGGAGACACAAATCTTAAGCCGGGTAGGATTAGGGTCTCACACCAACACAAGGAAACAAAACTGACAGAAAAATCAACCGGGGGAGGCCACCACACAGTCATACACCTGAACAGACAGAGGGACCCAGTGACATCCCACATGGATCGTGGATACGGGATCAGCAGCCCTGTCTGACCTCTGCTACGCGCTCAGACAGAAGGCGCCTTAAACCAGGCTCACCGACGGGCGGCTTTCTGATTTGTTTCATTCTGGGGTGGAGGCGTCTGATCCCTCCACAGTATTAGTTGATTAAAGGGAGCCTGGGGGGGGCCTGGACTTCACTCTTCCTTATTCCGAGGGCCCCTGGGACCCCAGGGTCTCGAGGTCTTGTTCTGGGGTTTCAGTAGGACCTCCTGAAATGTTGAGGGTGCATCCCCCAGGGAAGACTGCTTGGACATGGGTTCAAGTCAATAGAAAGTCTCCATTAGCCAATCAGCAACCATGACTGGTGCTCAGGACTCTAGCGTAGCCCCAAGCCTTTCCCAGGGTGAGCTTGTAAGCACAAAAACCATGTCCTGGGTTGACACACTTCCGTTAGCTCGAGCGGGTAGCCAGAAATGGAGTTACAAAGCCGGGCGTTGGTGGCGCATGCCTTTAATCCCAGCACTTGGGAGGCAGAGGCAGGTGGATCTCTGTGAGTTCGAGGCCAGCCTGGTCTACAGAGCGAGTTCCAGGACAGCCTCCAAAGCCACAGAGAAACCCTGTCTCGAAAAACCAAAAAAAAAAAAAAAAAAAAAAAAAGAAAAGAAAAAAGAAAAAAGAAATGGAGTTACAGACGCCAAAAAGCAAGCTAGAGACTGTCCCAGAACTATGGGCTTTGATGGGTTAGACCTTTGTTTTAGTTTTGGCAGGTGGCGCTGTCTGTGCGATGAGTTTTATAGCCTGAACCGATAGAGTCAGCCTTGCTAGTTCTGGGGCCCCTACACTCTCCAGCGCAGGACTCCGCCGCTAAGCCGTCTCTACCCCCCCCCCAGAGCATTCGTTCTGCTCTGAGCAGCCCTGGGGAAGGGGGAAACTCCCCCTGGGCTGTTTCCAAAAGAAAAGAGAAAGTTCCCCTTCTCTGCTTCTCTCCTCCTTCATGATTTATCTCTTTACCAACGATCCCTAGAAGCGAACAGCTCAAAACACACCATTCTCCAAACTAAGGTAGAAAAACCAGTATTGCTTCCAGACAACAAAGCCAGGACAGAACAGGCTTTTCCCTCTTATCCAACACTGACCAGGGAGACCTTAAAATGTTTTCACTAGGTCCTTTTTTAAAGGATTAAAGACAGCTGCTAAAAAGATGTCCTTTGTCACCCAGTCAGCCCCAGATATTAGGAAAAAAGTTATAAAAGTTAAAAAAAGAAAAAAATAATTTAAAGGCAGAAGTAGGTCGCAGTGGCTGGAGGTAGCTCGAAGGCGTTTAACAGCAGAGACCTTTGCATAAACCGAAAGTCACAGTCACCTCGGACGATGAGACACAGTTGGACTCACAGACACCCAGAAAAAATTTGGTGTCTCACCTCTATCAAAAGAATAGAAGCTAGAAGTTCTGTCTTCAATCAAAGGCTACAGTTGGACTATCTCTCAGACTGACAATGGAGATTCGCAGGGGTGTGGACAGAAACCAGCCCCCCACCTCCCATCCCCCACACCCCACCCCAGGACTGGTCCAACACCAAGCTCTCAAAATTGTTCAACCAACCAGTTCAGCCATCCCCATCCAGATTAAACAATACTCAATGACCCTGGAAACAAAGGGGGGGAAATTGCCATCCACACTGCCTGACTTGAAGAGATAGGCATCCTGTCACCCTGCCAGCCACCCTGGAATAAAGCTCTCCCACCTATGAAGAAACATGGGACCTCTGATTCTCATGAGTCTGATTCCTCCAGAGAATCGGGTGCACGCTGTCTTGGACCTGAAAGATACATTCTTAGGCCTCCCATTGGCTGGGAGGAGTCCATCCATCTTTGCTTTTAAATGGACAGACAGACCCGGTGGGGGATTACAGTGGGTATCATGCCTAGACTAGGTTGCCCCAAAGATTTTAAAAATTTGTCTACCCTGTTGGATGAGACACTAAGACTTCCTACCCTTCTGTGAGTGGTTTCCTGGGCAAATAAATTCTAACAGCCACGGAGGGACTGTTGCAGGAGTTATAGACCTTGAGCTATATGGTATCAGCTAAAAATTTCCAGCTTTGTACATCAGAGGCTACCTATCCTGGTCACCATCTGAAGGGAGGTAAAACAAGCCTGTCTCAGAGCAGGACTCCTTCCATCCTTCAGATCCCAACTCCAAAGATTAAGAGACAGGTTCAAGGGTCCCAGGGGCGGCTGGACATTGCTGCCTCTGGACACCAGAGTTTGTGGAAATAGCAAGGCCAATATTCACCAGCACAAAGGGGGGGCACTGAGCCCCTAACCTGGACTGAGAGTAAACAAAAGACATTACAAAAAAGGGGTTTAACCTAAACTTTGGGGCCATGGAAATGCCTTGCGACATACCTGTCCAAATGACTGGACCCTGTAGCCACAGGTGGCCCACCTGTATAAGAGCTGCGGTGGCCACTGCTAGTCTAAAGCAACTCTGCGTCGAGATCTTATAACTCACTGCACATGGCGACACCATTTTCTTTTTTTTTTTCCTTTTTTTTGTGTACACATTGGTTTTATTGTAACAAAGCAGCTTGTACACTTCAACATTTAAAAATGAGCATCTTTTTCCTTCCAGTGAAAACCAAAAAAATAAAAAATAAAAAAAATTAAAAGTTACAACAGAGAATGTCAATTCCAAATAAAACCCTACAGGTTCTGTTGATTCTCCCATTGAGTGGCAGGGCTCAAGTCATCGTTAGGAGAGAATTTTATTTTAAAAGTATCACCTTAAACTGCAAGGATGTCTGTTAAACATCACAATTAAACATGCCAAAGGAGAAGCCATGTTGTCACAATGCCCACTTACCCCCCCAGACACCTCAAACCCACCCTTGCTGACCTTCTATACCCCCCTTTTTTTCTTTTCTTTTTTTATTAAACAAGAGAAAGTAGACAGATACATGTTGGTAAATGCTAACTGTCTGTATTCACATAGAGACACAGTGTAATCTCTGAGCCCAATATACAGAGAAAGGAAAAAAGCTAGAATTCTATGCACTACTACACAGGGGCCTAGCACCCCCAGCCTCCAGCAGAGCCCAGGGAGCCAGAGGACTTCTCTTTTTTCCCCCACAGAGCACGTTGGTGGTGTTGAAACCATAGTCTGAGACAAGGATAAAAATGAATCTAGAACAGAAGAGTGGAGATTCTTTTCTCGTTGTATTTTGCTCAAGGTATTTCCCCCCAAGTAAGTTGAGAACCATGGTGTTGAGAAGAGACCTCAAAAACAGGGCGACTGAGCACAAGAGGGATTGGGGAAGGGAGGGGAGGGAAATGACCACAACTTGCTCCCAGGGACTGGAGAAAATTAAAAATAAAAGAAAATAAAAAAAGAGGGTTGGAATCCATCAGTCTTCTGTGCTAGTCATCCTCGCCTTCATCCTCCTCTCCTTCTTCCCCTTCATCATCATCTTCATCTTCTTCACCTTCATCCTCATCCCCTTCTTCATCGATATCTTCCAAGCCTTCCTCTTCTTCATCATCATTGTCATCATCTTCTGCCTCTCCTTCTTCATCATCCATATCAGGAACCAAATAGTACTGCAAGGGGTTTGGCCAAATATCATCTTTGATGACCTCTCCTAACTCATCTGCACCCGCGTCAGAATGGTCAGTAAACCAGGTCAAGAAGCTCTCTGGCTCTTCATGCTGCCTCTTCCTGCTGGCCTTATTCTGTGTTTGACTTGAGCGTTTTGTCAAATCCTTTCCAGATTTCCATTTGATTTCAGTGGACTTTGATGATGGATCACCACTCTCATTCAGATGAAATTCTTTGGAGAGAACTTTATTTTCAAAGTAAGGATTTTCATCAAAATAAAAATCTATTCTGTAACCTGATTTAATGTCTTCAAATTCTGTCACTTCAGCTCTGGTTAAGTAATGCAGAGCCTCTTCGTCTTCCTCCCCAAGCAGTGCAGACACTTGTGGATGGTTGACAAATGTTGTTACCCAAAAATTTGGGATTTTGGCGATCAATTCTGACCTCTTCTGAAAAAATGGCTGGCGGAGTTTGTTATATTTTTGTTCTACTTTCAAAATTTCCTCACTGGCTTGTTCATTAAGTCTGTCTATTTCATTTTGTACTTCGTCAATGTGTTCAATTGCTTCTTGCTGTTCTTTTTCTGAGGTCTCGTCGGCCCCATCGTGGTTGGAGTTGAGCTCCTTTTTACTGGTTTTGGCCGTCGGCGCCGACATGGTGCCCTCCGCGGTCGGGGCGGGGAGCGGGGAGGGGGAGCGAAGGGACGGCCAAGGGGGCGGCAGCGGCTTCCCCTCACGCCACACGCGCGGTGCCGCTTCGGCGACACCATTTTCAAAGGAACACCAGAATGCTGACTGTCCTACTCCTGGCCCGCCCTCAAGTCCAGTTTGAGAGTCCCACTGCCATCGATCCTGCTACCCTCTTGATGACAACCCACAAGCCTTCATCCATGGCTGTCACAGAGAATGGAAGATGAAACCAAGTACATGGGACTCGAGGTAGTTACTATAACTGAAATGATCCGGGCCTAAGCCTGGTACCTCAGCCCAGAGCACAGAACTCATCGATCTGACCCAGGCTCTCAGGTAGGGGAAAGGGTTGTCCACAGTATGTTTTATAGTGAAAGAGGCCTTCTCACTCATGGGGAAAAAGACAGTAGAGGCCATTTGGCTTCCCCTACAAATTGCTTTCCTCTGTTGCTGGGTTGCTGACCTGGCTGCCTGACAAATGACACTAAGACCAGTGGAGCCTCTTGAGATATATATACATATATATATATATATACATATATATATATATATATGGTTTTTTTTTTTTGGTTTTTCGAGACAGGGTTTCTCTGTGGCTTTGGAGGCTGTCCTGGAACTCGCTCTGTAGACCAGGCTGGCCTCGAACTCACAGAGATCTGCCTGCCTCTGCCTCCCGAGTGCTGGGATTAAAGGTGTGCGCCACCACCGCCCAGCGCCCTTTGATATTCTGATGATATACCCCAACCTAGTGCTTCCTGAGACTCCACAGTGAAGAAGAAATGGGCAGCTCAAACACACAGGTTGATGGACACCAGAGGAAAAGACCATTCTCCCAGAAACAACCCATGGGACTCTCTCGTATCTGACCTTTTCCAGGAAACTCATGTGGAGTCCATAAAACTTTCTGAGTTGCTCAGACCAAGGTGTGCTACGCCTAGACAGGACAGCCTAGCACAGGCTGTCTCAGCCAGATGCCGGGGGCGTGTGCAAATGAATCAGAACAGATAGCTCTTACCCAGGAGGGGATCCAGAGAGACCAGCACCCCCAGTGAACTCTGGGAAACTATTAGGGTTACTATTGCTATGATGAAACATGAGCAAAGCAACTTAGGAAAGAAATGGTTTATTTGTCTGGTACTTCTATATTATTGTTCATCATTGAAGGACAGGAACGCAAACAGGGCAGGAACCTGGAGGCGGGAACTGATGCAGATGCCCTGGAGGTGTGCTGCTTACTGACTTGCTCCCTATGGCTTGCTCAGCCTGCTTTCTTATAGAACACAGGACCACCAGCCCTGGGATGGCACCACCCACCATGGTCTGGGCCCTCCCCCATAAAACACTCGTTAAGAAAATGCCTTACTGGCTTGTGTACAACCTGAATCTATGGAGGCCTTTCCTTAAGTGAGATTCCCGCTTCTAAGATAACTTTAGCTTGTGTCAAGTTGACATGAAACTATCTGTTGTGGGGTATTTACCAGAGAAGACTGCTTGGACATGGGTTTAAGCCAAAAGAAACCCTTTGTTAGCCAGCCAATGACTATATTGGGTGCTTAAGATCCCAGTGTAGCCCCAAGCCTTTCTCAGGATAAGCTTTTAAGCACAAAAACCATGCCCTGCATTGACACACTTCAGTTAGCAAGAACCATTAGCCAGAACCAGAACTACAGAAGCCAAAAGGCAAGGTTAGTACATTTTTGAGGCTGTCTACATTGATTCCAGCTGTCCCCTGTCATAGTGAGTTTTGTTAGTCAATGGGCTGCCGGTCTGGTTGGTTACTGTCCCTGTGTAGATCAGGGGTGGCAGATCTAAGCATGGCCAGCAATCCTGGCTGGTCTCTGGTGGTAACAATTAACTAAATGGTGGACTTTGTTAAGAGTGAGAAATAGAGCCGGGCATTGGTGGCGCCTGCCTTAATCCCAGCACTCGGGAGGCGGAGGCAGGTGGATCTCTGTGAGTTCGAGGCCAGCCTGGTCTACAGAGTGAGTTCCAGACAGCTTCCAAAACAATACAGAGAAACCCTGTCTGGAAAAACAAACAAACACAAAAAAAGAGTGAGAAATAGCAAGGGCATCCCTCAGCTTCCTGGATAGGAGGTGGAACTCCAGCCCTAGGTGTGGAGGGGAGAGCTGGCTGGGGCTTTGGCATGGGAGAGAGAATTCTATTAGGACTGAAAGTCTGGAGACCTGGAAGGGCAGGGTTTGCTTATTTGTTTGTTTGTTTTTTATAGTAAGAGTCCATTCCTATGGCATAGAGTCTAATACCCTTGTTTTTCCTGCTTCCCAAAGGCCAGAATCTTCCTTCCAGACATTTAATTTCATCACCATTGGATTACATGTTTTATTGTGTTTTGGGGGGGGTTCTTTCTACATATATGTATTCATCTGAGTGTTTCCAGGAAGCCTCTGCCTCACAACCCCAATTTTGGAATGGAAACTCTCGTGTTCCCAGCAGCTAGGGGCCCAGCCACAGGCTTGCACAGGACCGTAATCTCCATATTCCTACCTCGGAAGACACACCGCAGCGTCTTTTCTTCCTCCAAACCAACAAGACAGGTAAAGTGGGCAGCAGGGAGCAAAGGTCGATATGGAATGTGGCTGGTCTGTAGTCACACTAGCCAATACTGTCCCCGTGTCTGTCTTCCCCAGTTTCCAGCCCAGGCCTGAGGAGGGTGGGTGCTGCACCCTGATCATACCAAACATAACACTCAGGAGGAGGAGGTAGAGGGCAGGAAGTGGAGGAGGGGCCGGGGCCAGATGAAACCTTAATCTCCCGTGGTCCGAGACGGTCCATTTGGCAGTGGCATCTGTGGCTGCCACGCTCCTGACTTGGGTACGGTGGATCCGTGGTATGTGATGCCAGCCACCTTCATAGCCACGGCGGAGAGAGTCAGCTTGTAGGGCCCCTTCCAGGTTAGTTCCAGCGTCCCTTTGGCTGCCTGCCTGACGCAGACAGTGTCGCTGGGCTAGAACAAGGGGAAACGGTGGTGGGATCGGAGGTCGGCGGTGTCTCTCAGAAAGCTTGCTAAATAGCCTGTATGGAGGGCTGGAGGGCCTGTAGTGATCTAAGAAAGGGATGGTTAGAGACTTCTGCCTGCCGACTGCTGGGCTCTGAGCCTGGGAAGCAGTGGGTGGGGGTCTTCCAGGTATAATCTCATAGCAGGTGAATCGCTCCTGTGGTGGTTTCAATAGGAATGGCCCCCACAGACTCTTGTGTCTGAATGCTTGGCCCGTAGGGAATGGCACTATCAGGAGGTGTGGTCTTGTCAGAGTAGGTGTGGCCTTGTTGGAGGAAGTATGTCACTGCGGAGGCGGGCTTTGAGGTCTCATATATGCTCAAGCCACGCCCAGTGTCTCAGACCACTTCCTGCTCAGATCGAGACGTAGAACTCTCAGCTCCTTCTCCAGCACCGTGTCTGCCTGTGCGCTGCCAAGCTTGCCACCGTGACGGTAATGGACTAAACCTCTGAAACTGTAACCCAGCCCCAATTGAATGTTTTCCTTGTAAGGGTTGCCGTGGTCGCGGTGTCTCTTGACAGTCGTAGAAACCCTGACTAAGGTGCCGCCTTAGATGGGGTGCAGCTGGCCAAAACAAAACGAAGGAGAGAGGCCTATCCACCCTTCGATGGGCTCTAGAGAGTTCTGTTAGTTTTTCTTTTGCTTTGCGTTTGGAGACAGGGTCTCTCCACGCAGCCCTGGCTGCCCTGGTACCCACTCTGTAGACCAGGCTGGCCTCCCCCCTTCCGGCCACAGCTCCGAGGTTGATACGCACAATGAAGTTTTGTTTTGTTTTTAATGTTGTTTTTTTTTTTTCAGTTTAAATTTAGAGTGCTTCACAAGTCAGGTCCCTCTCCCTTTCCCTCCCCTCCCCCCAGCCCCCCCATTATCCCTTCATTTCCCCAGGGAGGGTGAGGCCCTCCATGGGGGTGTCCATAGTCTGCCATTTCACGCACAATGAAATTTAAAGTTTTAGTTATTGAGAGGTTTGGGCTAAGAACCTGGGCCACTGTCAGACTCCACTGGCTAGGAGGAGGCCAAAGTTCCGGGAGTAGCCTTTAAGCTACTATTTGAGTAGTTTGAGTCCCAGTGGAGAACACTTTTACCCACCTGGAAAAAAGGCACCTATAAAAACTAGCATATACTTTTAACCTCCCCCAGCAGGCCAGATCTTAGTGAAGTCAGTTTCCCAGAGTTCACTGGGGGTGCTGGTCTCTCTGGATCCCCTCCTGGGTAAGAGCTATCTGTTCTGATTCATTTGCACACGCCCCCCGGCATCTGGCTGAGACAGCCTGTGCTAGGCTGTCCTGTCTAGGCGTAGCACACCTTGGTCTGAGCAACTCAGAAAGTTTTGTGGACCCCAGAGGAGTATCCTGGAGAAGGTCAGATACAAGAGTCCCACGAGTTGTTTCTGGGAGAATGGTCTTTTCCCCTGGTGTCCATCAACCTGTGCGTTTGAGCTGCCCATTTCTTCTTTACCATAGAGTCTCAGGAAGCACTAGGTTGGGGTTTTATAAACTCCTGCCTGCTCCTGGGGAGAAAAAGGAAACCCTTGGCCCTTTAGTAACCAGCTCATAGGATAGTTATGAGGGTTTAACAGACCCTGTGATGGGTTTAAAGAGTGCTGATGTGCAAGACATGCTCATACTGTATTTCTCTGTGTAATTGTCCCCAATAAACACCCATTTATCACTTATCTTGGGTCTAGTGATATAATTACGTCCTCGCCTTCAGGAGAGATAGATAGATAGATAGATAGATAGATAGATAGATAGATAGATAGAAAGAAAGAACATTGTAGTAGCTGGGGAAGAGAAGCCTTCCAGGTGGAAGGAATTTAGGGTAGAGGAGGAGGTGAGAAAGGCTAGGATGGTGAACTTTGAAAGGTGTCATAGTATCACAGAAATGTGATACTGAGGGAGCCTGGAGACTAACCTGAGCTCTGATGTGCTAATGGGCACCACAAGGTGCCCTAAGTCCAGAAGTAAGACAGATGACTCCTTTTGGTAGAGGGGGACCAGTTTCACAAGTTCCTGA